TTTTGAATTTCATTTTTCTATATGTCTTGGGGGTGCCCAGAGCAGCGATAGAGGGCCACTGAGCCTGGCGTTAGACTTTACTAAGTTTAGAGAGACGTATATCTTTTTTTGTATATTGTAATTATTATAAAATTATAATAAAAAAAACTAAAAGGATCGTTATCCTGCTCTTTAAAAGTAAAAAAAAAAAAAATTTAAAAATTTTTTAAAATAAAAAAATATAATTAATTAAAATTAATTATAAAAAATTTTTTTTCAAACAGTATATTAATAAAAATAAATATTTTTAAATTTTAAAACATATTTGATAAAATTAATAAACTTTATTTATTATTTTATTAATTAATTATTAAAGAATCTAATTAATTAAATAACAAATTAATTATTAAAGAATTTGATTAGTTAAATAAAAATTTATTATATATTTATTATATTATATAAATTATTATATCTTTTTTTAAATCTTTTTAATAATATTATCTTATTTTAATATGTTAATAAAAAAAAATTTATTAAAAAAAAAACTCTCACCCGTTCACCACTGATTCTTTAAAAATTTCCTTTTATAGTAATTTTCTTTGAAGAAGCGCTTTCCACTCTCTTAATATGCCATAAGCTTAAGGACGTAAAGACTTTAAGGACCACTATTGCATTGGAATGGGACCTCTGGGCAAAGGTCAAGCAAGTTTGGGAGTCTTGTTTGCTCTTTGTTTGCATGGGGAAAGGCCCGTGGCAATCCTCCTTCATAATTTTGTCTTTATGCACCTCTTATTATCTATATGCCATTATTATCATCTTTCTATTATTCCTCATTATTGCAAATTTAATCCTAAAATTACACTCAAGCAAAGTTACTAGGTCTAATGCTTGTTTTAACTAAACCTTTTCAACCATCTTTTACTTGACGTACAATGTTGCGCCAACCCATTTTTCACAAAATCTTAATCATTTTCAAAAACCAAAATCAGTTCTACCTCTTCAAATGATCAACATATATCCAACAACCAATCAAACACTAGCAATCCAATACAATGACAATCAAACTGGCTCAAATCTGTTTGTAACAATCACAACAACAAATTTATATTACAATATCCCAATGGCTTTCCTTATCAGTATAACAACAACCTCAACATCACAGTCATGTGAAAATACTGAACTTTTTACATGTCTTATTCAGCCTTTAAACAGTTGCCTCATGGTTTCACAGGTCCAAGCAACAAATCTAAAACCCAATCAACAATACATCATCCCCAAAAGCTGCCATTATGGTTTCACAGATCCAGACAGCACAGCCAAAACCCAAGTCAATAAAATTATTTCAAATGACTACATTAACATAGCTGTTTATGGATGAGTATAAGCCATTCATGGATCACTGCAAATTTTTTTTCACTTATATAGTGTTTTTTAGAAACTTGTAGTTAACATGTGATAGGCTAGCATTAACTTAAATGGATGTTTAATATACTGATTAGAATTATTTATGATTCAATAAAATCATGCATTTTATGCTTGTTCGCAATTAAAAAAAAAAATAATAAAATTTTATTTATTAATAGTTAAATTTTTTTTATTATTAATAAAATAAATTTATTATTATATAATTTTGTATTTAATTCTATATAAAAAATTTTTATATAATAATAATCAAAATATTTATTTAATTAATTATATTTTAAAAAAATTAAATAAAAAAATAATTTATATACAATAAATTTGAAAATATAAAAAACAAGTTTACATAATAACTATTATATAATATTTTATTAAAATTTTATTAAAACTTATAAAAATTAATAATAAAAAATTATTAAAATTATTAAATATTATAAAATTATTTTATTATAATAAATTAATTAATAAAATATAATTTTATTATAAAAAACATTTAATAAAAAAATTTTTATATCAAATAGTTTTTTTAAAATTTTTTTATTAAATTTTTAAAAATTTTACTATAGTAAAAACAAAATATTTTTATTAGAATTTATATATAAATATAAATTTATAAATTTATAAAAAAAATTTAAACTTAAAATTTTTAATTTAAAAATTAATTTTTTAATATATTTTAAAATAGTTAATTGTAAAAATTAAAATAAATTATTTTTTAATTAAAATATATATATTAAAATTTTTAAATTAATTCAATAAGAATTTTTATTTATAATAAAAATAGTTTGTTTAAAAAATATTGCTTACCACTGTATATATTTTAAAATAAATAAATTTGGATTAATTAATAAAATAAAATAAATATTAAATATAATATATGTTTAGAATAAAAAAACAAAAAATTATCAAAGAAAAATATAACAATGGTAAATGAAATTTATAATAAAAACCTTGTATGCTTAATAATTGTCAAAAAAAACAATTAATGTTTTTGTAGAATTTTTTTTTAATTACATTTAAAAATTATAAGATAAAATGTATTTTTATATTTTTGTAAATAATTACATATTTTATTCAAGTTTTTATTTAAAATTCCAAATATCTATGTTTTTAATTAACCATTGAATTATAGATAAAAATATAAAGTATAAATTTATTAAAAGACCTTTTTTAATTTCATTTATTAATTATTAAAAAAATTTTTTTTTAATTCTGCATTACGCAGTATTAAACGATGGTATATAAATTTTATAAGTCTAATATAAACAAACAAGTAATTAAATTGTTAATTGGTTGAATGATAAAACATTAATTATACAATTATAATATATAAGTGTGTATGTATCATTTAATTTATAAAATCCACCAGCTTTTATGATATGCAAATAAGTATATGTACTGTAATACTGTGTGTTTGTTTGTTTGTCTGAAGTTGAATTCGGAATTTAATAAAATTATAATAAGATAAAATGCAATTATAAACAGAAATAGATTGCAAAAAAACCAACATTTTCGAATTTTTCTATTATACCGAACCGTAGTAGAGTCCATTGGTCTGTTAAATTTGCATTTCTGCATAGGAAAATCAAAAGGAATTACAATTGTTCAATGTCGAAAAATTTAATTTTTTTATTCATGATGATATAATATTATAGATTATAATTAAGAAAAGAGGCCTACCAGAGATCAATTTATACTTGATAAATATTTTATCGAAATTTATATTTATTACATACAGTGCGAGTTATAAATTAAACACATGCATAATATTTGTCATGTGATTTGGTCAATACGTGAGTAAGACTATCTCAAAATCAGATGATTCATCTTGGCAAATAATAAAAACTTTGTAAATCTTTATCCAGTAGACACCTATCAACCAGCAGGTCTAATCTGGATATCATCTAGATCGAAAATTAGTTTGACCACGCGACTTGCGTGGATGCAGACGAACGAACCATGTGTTTCTGCCTTTTTAGGTATTCTCAAAAGAATCATGTCGAAAAATTCTGATGGTTTTTCCATAACGCAAGACTCTCGATGGCGCATTAATTCATTTATGACACTAATTCAAGAATGTCTTGAATCTTACCATTATAATTGACAATTCAAAACAAATAATGAGATCTTGCATGTACTTTACGACAAAATTGATCCCAGATAGGAAGTAAATAATTCCGAAATGGCTGATGGTTTTTTGTTATTTAAAATAATTGATCTAGACAATATCGCGTGGTCTTGCATCGATTAATTCTTCATTATACAGTGAAGATTTAAATTTTCAATAATAAGCGATGCGCGAAGTATAATCGCTTTTAATGAGTTGTTTTATATTATGGTACTTATCTGATCCATTCGACACGCATACGTACGTATTTGTCAAGTAACGTTTTTTAAACAAGGGCAGGACCCGACCCAAACATCCCACTAAAATGTGAAGTCTACGTAATTCCGCAGAAAATTTGTTACTGACATTCCCAAGTATAGTATGTGCCCTGACCATAGTGTAACGATGATCCTTTAAACTGTATCGGGAAAAAATAATACAGTATATCCAGAATTGACTTCCACGACACGATCATCAAAAAAGAGATATACTGTATTAATTGTAATATCAAAAACCGACCTTTTTTAATCACGGAGACAAGTGTATATAAACATCAATCATTTTTCTTTCTTTGTCAAAATCCACGGCCTTGTATTTCGATGTTTTTTGAAGGTCACGAATTTCACATTAATGGTTTCAAATTATTTCCTAGAATGAATAGAAGCTAAAAAAGAATGCAAAAGGAAAATTCTTGACCATATTCTTTTCCCGTGATCAATCGAATCACTTTTGTTTCTATACTAAAACCTGCTAATCTCTAGGCAGATGATATTATTGCTTGGCATATTAACATATTAAGCATGTAGAGTATTGGTTCAATGTAGCCAATCATTCATGCATTTTCAACAGTAAGTGCAATGGGTGAATTTTGAGACCTTTTTATTTTAAGCAAATGAACTAATGACATTAAATTATCACAAATCGTGTTGAGATAAACAAATAACTTTAACTTCTGACGTACAGCACTCTTTATGGTTAGTTGATGATGTCATAAAAATCGAAATTTAGGATCTGCTCTCTATAAAAACTCTCGAGTTCAGACTCTTTCTTTGTTTTAGAAATTTCCCGATAATATAGTAACTTGCCTTTAGTTTCTCGGATAATGAACAAAAATTACACAGGAATTAATGGTTCACGCACTAACATTAGTGATGACGAATCATTGCGTGGCGATATACATCCTTCTCAATCCTCTATCTTAATAAAACTACCATTTCCTCCAATCGTAAATCTGTTCGATCTAGTTAGTAAAAA